CCATACTTTGTCAGAGAGCTCCGTCACGTTCGCTACAAACATGTGCGTGAACTCCTGACCCTCGGTTGTGTCTAGGGTCCGAGGTGAACCCTCCTGCATTTGTCAAGCCGTGGCCGCGGCAGCAGCTGCCCCTGCCCCCTGGCTAGGCGTTGCGCCCTCGCCAGTGGCGGCGACCGCTGGGTCGCCATGCCTGGGGGCAGCCGTGCTGTCGGAGCCCTTGCCCTTCGCCTTGGCCGTCTCGATCATCGCCTGGTAGCGCGCGTCGGACAGCTTCTTCGCCTCCGCCTTGAGCGTCTCGGAGCGCTTGGCGTGCTCGCCGTCGGCCTGGGGCTTCGGCAAGTCCCTCGAGCTCTCCGCCGCTGGCGTCTCCGCAGGTTGGGCCTCCGATGGGGGGGCCGCTTCACCTGCCTTGCCCTTGCGCTTCTTGGACATTCTGTCCGTGATGTCCTGCTGGTACTTCTTGGCCTGCTCGAGCCACTGTGCGATCTCCTTCTCTTTGCCTTCCAATAAGCCACGCGTATTGAGAAGGTCCTGCTGGAGTGTCTGCAGTGCGGCTCGCTCAGGCTCCGTGCAATCCATCTTGTCCAGGCCCGCGAAGAAGGTCTCGTCCCACTCAAGCTTGAACATGGGGCCCTTCTGCTGGCTCTGGCTCTGCATGTTCGTGTTGACGTCCTGGACGCCCTCTGCCATGGCCACCGCCCGTGCTGCTGCCGTCTTGGCCTCCTTGGCCTCGGCCAGGCGCAGGGCGGCCGCCTCTTCCTTGGCCTCCGCTGCCTTCAAGCTGGCGCGAAGGCGGAGGACGGAGGCCACGGTTTGCTCGTGCAAGTGATCCGCATTCTTGAAGGCCCCGTCCGCTCTCTTCATGGCATCGACGGGGTTGGCTGCGGGCGGCGGCGGGTCGTTCTGGATCCGTGTGATCTGCGCCTTGAGGGTGCTCTGCAGCTCCTTGTCGTTGGTCGCTGCCAGGGCCTTGCGCAGGTGCTGCGAGACCTCGGAGCCGCCGCCCTTGCCACTGCGTTTGACGCCTGACGGGGATGGGCTGCGGCTGCGCCGAGTCGACCTGCTGCCGCCGCCACCTCCCGAATCGCCGCTGGGCACCTCCTCACACTCGTAGAAGTCCTCGATGTCGTCGGACTCCGTGTCAAGGTCGAACCTGACAGTGCCTCTGACCGGTTTCTTGTAGAGCGTGAGAACAGTATGGCAGCCAGGGCACTTCCGCTGGTTCATGCTGAGAATCGAGTTCCACTCACAGCGCTTGCATTTGTCGCACCTCGTCCATGGAGGCGTCGACGCCGACATGCTGCTGACAAGTGTACTGGTTGGTACAAACCTCTTTCTTGGTCGTGGCCCCAGTGGTGTGGCGGACACCAGGGCCAAGTCCCTCAAGCACCACGTGGAGGTGCAGAGGACTTGGGAGCCGCAAAATGCTCGGGCCCAAGTTGCTTGAGAGGAGGAGGAGGAGGAGGAGGAGGAGGAGGAGGAGGAGGGGAGGAGGAGGAGGAGGAGGAGGCGGAGGAGGAGGAGGAGGAGGAGGGGGGAAGGATGAGGAGGAGGAGGAGGAGGCGGAGGAGGAGAAGGAGAAGGAGGATATTGAGGAGCAGGAGGAAGAGGAGGAGGAGGAGGAGGAAGAAGAGGAAGAGCAGTTCAAGGTGGGACGCTGGTCGCAGGTATAGTAGAAGCTCGACCAAAGGAAACCTTCCACGAGAAGCCCAACCCTGAGACCCCAGAACGTCCATTGATTTTTGGCGTGGAAGCGCCACGGCCTCCACGGCAAGACCCTCGAACCCCAACAAACCTAGGGCAGCCTGGAGGCAAGCAGGGTGTTTCTTGGCCTGGGTCAGAAGAACAAGAAACGGCAGAAACATAAACTTTCGGAGGTCCGCGCAGGTTTCTTGGATCGGCGCAAGATCGCAAGATACCCCTCCCCTGGCGCGCGGCGATAGAGGCGCCGCAGGGGGGTCTGGCGCCGATCCAAGAAATCCGCGAGGACCTCCGAAAGAACATGCTCATACGAGATGGCTATCTTCTTTTTTTCACAGCGCTGCGCCCAAGGACCTGCATCAGGGACGCCTGGTGGAGGACCGACTTAAGCCTACCCAGCGCAGGGCGTAATAAAACGCTGTGTTGAAAAGAACTGGGCCAAGGACGCCGAGACGCCGCTCTACTTCCGCCGGCCTTCCGCCAAGGGTGATGGTGCGACGAAGGCGAGGCCGGGGTGGGCCATCAGACCCCTTTCTACTATCGGCCATGAATGGGCGATTGGGGGTCGATGCATCTCCCCTGAACCTACAGTCGGAATTGATTGGACAGGACACCAGAGAGGACACAAGACTCTTTCGACGGCAACGTGACCCCAGAACACCAAAAGACATACGGATTGCATAGGTCGGGATAGAAAGGACATACGGGTACACTCAATCTGGCATGGTCGACCTACCAATCAGGGCAGACTGCATCCCCCCTGACGTTGCCCCTGTGGCCCGGTAGCGGTGTTGTCTGGATTCGGGTCAGTGCGACAGCCCATGTCCGACGCGGGCCCGGGCTGCCCAGCGAGACTCCTCCCGAGAAGGCGCAAGCATAGTCACGGACAAAACTCGCCAACAATGTCGAATCGTACCACACCGTCCCAGTCAAACCGCATACTACGGGTGCGCGGTAAGGATGCAAGGGCACTTGGAGGGCCATGTTAACGTCTTTCGAACGAGGGTGGCCAGCGAAAGCTGCTACGGGTGGGCCGAAGGGGCGAGGATGCAATGGTAGCCTTGGGAACTTGCTCGTCCTTATTGTGCGGCTTGACTGCGTTAGAGGAACGGAGAGCTGCATGAGCACGAACTCTCGGAACTCCGCGCGGGTTTCTTGGATCAGCGCCGGTCCCCCTGCCAGCGCCTCCAATGCCGCCCCTGGCTCGCTCAGCGCGCGGGGGGAGGGGATCCGGCGACGATCCGAGAAATACGCGCGGAGCTTCGAAAGCGTACGTTGAGACGAAACCCAGACGAGGACAAATTCGGGTGGGGATGAATCGAGAATCTCTAAGATCCGGCGGCTCTGCAGGATGCCTCGGGCGCCGCGGCCTTCTCAGAGCGTTTCGGAACGCTCTGAGAGCGTTCCAGAACGCTCTGGAACGGAGTTATTGAAGGGGCCCTGGGACACGTTAATAAATAGACACAACTAATAGGATTGCCCATCGTTTCCCATATTTTCTGGGTGCTCGTCTTCCCCCCCACTTCCCATATTCTCCTAGGAGTCGACGATTCATTGCGTCTGCGTGCTTTTTCTCCTCCTGAGTTATCCTCGTCCTGGCCCCGACCAGTATGTTTCTGCAGTGCTTCTTCGGCTCACGGGGAGCACCGATCGCCCGCCTGCGGAAGCCAGACGTGCGGACGCCTCGCTCTGCTTCCGCCAAGCTCCGCCCGCGGAGCCGCCGCCGTTGACATCCCCGCCGGCGCTCCGCTGGCGGCAAGGGTGCGCCGGAGGGGAGGGCCTTTCTGGAGCGCCCCGCGTGAGCTCGTGAGACTCGGCGGCGAGCGAGGGGGGGAAGCGAGGAGGAGAAGGCCTTCTCAGAAGGCGGCGGGACCTCTCAGAAGCCCTCGCGCCTTCTGAGAGGTTTCCTGTGTCTCCGGGGAAGGGCGAGAAACTTCTCAGAAGGCTGGGGGACTTGCCCTCTGAGAGGGCCACTTCTCACTTCCCCCCCCGGCTCGCCGCAGAGAGAAACTCCCACGGGTCACTCTATGCCTGCTCACGCCCACGCCTTTCGCCACTACAACCCCATATCTCCGGCAGTGTGGTGTGTTCCACCCTGGCCATTGCCCTGGGCATCGACCACTGGGGGCCGTCCTCGGGCCCCTGGGCCATCTAGCATCAAGAGTGGATCCCGGGGCAACCACCTACCCCCAGGGAACGGGTCGGGACCGCGAGGGCCACGCAGTGCAACACACACACACACACATCGTCGGATGTCTGGGAGGCTTGCCTACACGTCCTTCATTTCTAATCGGGCTCATGTCTACTTTTGCTCGTTTCTAATTGTTCCTGGCCCCCTAGCGGCCAGGAAGAGGCCCAAGATAAAACGATTAGAAGTGAAAGGATCTTGGCCGCCCCAAAACATCAAAGAACTTTCGAATCATTTAAAATGAACCATGTGCATGCAATGCAACGCTGGACAGGATTGATCCGTTTTCCCCGCCCAGTATCGAAACACAGCAGAGCTAGATGCATGCCAAGGCTCCACCTGGCCAGAGGCGTCAACAAGTGGCGTCTTCGTGCAGCGTGCAGCTGGACAGAGGCCGATGCAATACAAAGTTCGTAATCTGCACACGGTAGTAACTCTGGACTGCCCCTGTCCGCTTCCACTACAGAAGTGGTCCTGCGGCTCCTACCGGTCCTTCTCCTGCTCCCAATGTTCTCCGCCTCTTCTTCCGCTTGCACTCCGATGCTGACTGGCGTGTTCGCCTCCACCCCCTCTCATACTATTCCCCCTCCTGATCCTCTTCCTGCTCCTCTCACTCGTCCTCATCAAGGTCCTCCTCTACTCTCCTCCTCTTCCTCGTCCTAATCCCTTTCCGTCGTCATACAAGGAAGTGGCATGGGAGGATGATGAGTGTGTGGACGAGGAACAGGAGGGGAGGGAAAAGAGGGGGCGAAGGAGGACGAGGATGCGGACAAGGGCGAGGCGACCATCGGATATCACGACGAGGAGGGGGGAGGAATGGAGGTGGGGAAGTAGGTGAAGCACATCAGGAGGGAGAACGAAGGGAAAGATGATGGTGAAGAAGAGGACAATGATCTCGTTCCGTTCCCCGTACTCCTCTCCATCCCCCCTCCGAAGTAGATCGTGAAGACAGCTCCCGTCACAGACAAGATTGGAAAGGACCAGTTCTGTAGAGAGAACAACTGAACACAAACCACTTCCATGAGAGACGAGGGGTGCATACTGCGCATATGTTCCAACAAATGTCCTACGAACTCTGGATTGATCAACTACCGCTAGCTACGTCGTCATGCTATGACTGCGACACGCCAGCTTTACCACTACAAGCAGGTTTCGAGCCTGATGGAGACAACACCCATTTCGCTTGAGGTCCACCATCTTCTTTTATTTGCTCTGCTTCAAAAGCGAAAAGCGACTCCTTAACACGCTTAAGGCCATCTTCCAGCTTCTCCAACTGCGCCTTAGAGAAAGAGTTATAGTAGAACAGGCCACAATACAAGTCGAACGAATCTCCAGTAGTGTTGGAAACTAATTGGAGCAAGGATTCGTAGCCCTTCGTATTGATCGGAGTAGTCTCAGGAGCCAACTCAGCTAGCAACCGACCGGTGGTGTGTGTGATGAACTGCGTAGCCGCGGCGTGCCGGTCATGTTCCTCGCAAGTCATTTCAACCATTCTACATCCTGCGTCCGACCAAATGCGCAAGAACTCCGTGCAAATGACCGCGCCTCTCGGGCTCGATATGCGCACCTTCTCGTACACGAAGGGCAAGTTTTGCCAGCCGTCCTTTCCGGACTGGGGGCCAAACATCGGGTGCGTGCAGAGGATGTCGGCCGACGAAGGCATCTCCTCGAGCAGCAAGCTCTTGGGATACTCTTTGACGGAGAGAACGTCGACCACCAGCCTGCCTGCAAGCGCCTCCTTCGGGAACTTCTCAAGGACCTTCGCCGTGGACAAGACGGAGGTGCAGAATATGACGACGTGCGGGTCGTTCTCGAGCGCCACGTTGATGTCGCGCGTGTAGTAGGCGCCAATGGCAGCAGCCTCTGCGGCGTAGTCTCCACGAGACTGGCCGATCACGTGGTGCCCGAGCCGGATAATAGAGGAACAAACAACTCCATTGACATAAACTTTCGGAGGTCCGCGCGGATCCCTTGGATCGGTGCTGAACTCCCATGGCGGCGCCACCGGCGCCGCCCCGGGGCGCGCTCCGAACGCCAGAGAGGGGGGCCAGCGCAGGTCTCAGAGATCCACACGGACCTCAGAGAAATTATGTATTTGACCGTCTTTTGTTCTTCGAGATAAAGGTCTTCGCCATGAACTGGCCGAAGTTCCCAAAGCCGACAATGAGTATCTTCAGCCGTCGGGCGACGCCGACCGCCCGCTCTGCCGCCAGGATCCTCTGCTTAGCCCGCTCGAGCTCCGCCTCCGCGGCGCGCAGCTCCGCGTTCGCGGCCTCCACGTCGTCGTGCCAGCACTCCGTCGACGACGCCTGCCTCTCCATGGTGGAGGGCGCTGCTAGATGCTAGATGATCGAAGCACTCCACATCAAATCCGCTCAGGCCGAAACGGCTGCGGCAAGGATGACAATGACACAAACAGCGGCTGTGAATACAAGGCTCGTAAGATAACAAGTTGGGCGCGGTAATCCAACACTGGTCACATTGACAAAGCCGGCACGGGTCGAAGGTTCGCAATTGATACAGCATAATGAAGCAGGGCTCGTCGAAACGGCACCGAAACAATGATAAGACCGACCGAGTCCGCGCGGCCCTGCATCAGAGTTCGGATCCCAAGTGCCAGATCGCAACGAAGCCAGTCGCAACTGGCCCCTTCGCAGCTCCGATGCTCCAAAACTGTGGCGAAGCTTTACTCGAGGGAGGATGTCTTGGATCTGCGCCAGACCCCCCTTCCTGGCGCGCGGAGCGCGCCAAGGTCGGCGCCGGAGGCGCCGCCAGGGGGGCCCAGCGCGGATCCAAGAAATCCGCGCTGAGCGCTAAAAGTTTCTGTTTACGGCGCTTTTTCTTTTTCGAGGGTCGCATCTGGCCCCTTCGCAACTCCGATGCTCCAGAACGCTGCGCGTGCTGATTATCTCTGCTTGCTCACTCCATTTACTAGAGGCCTCCTAGATGGGGTCAGAGTAGATGGTTCGGAGGATCGCGCCGCATCGCTGACGCATCGGCGATGCCGGCGATGCATCGGCGATGCACCGGCGATGAATCGTAGACGTGCGCGATGCATCGGCGACGTCGGCGTGAAGCAAATCGGGCTTCACATCGAACCGCATCGAACAACATCCAAATCTAGGGGAACGGACAATGACATAAACATAAAAACTCGGAGGTCCGCGCAGACTTCTCGGATCGGCGCTGAACCCCCCTGGCGGCGCCTTCGGCGCCGCCCCTGGCGCGCTCCGCGCGCCAGGGAGAGAGGTTCAGCGCCGATCCGGGAAATCCGTGCGGACCTCAGAGTTTTTCTGTACATGTCATTGCTCGTTCCCCGAAAGAAATCTTGGCCCATGAATTGCTTAAACATGCCTTTCGCCAGCGCTACAAGTGCACCCAGGTCCAGAGCAGATCCAAGAATTTCGCGCGGACCTTTGAATATCTACGTTTACGCAGGCTTTCCTTAGTCGATCATCTTAAGCTTGCCTGATCCCCCTCCTTCCCCATCCTTCCGCAGCGGAGGCTGCCGCAAGGAAGATGCCGGCCCCTCTCGTGTTTGGCCTCAAGAAAACGGGGGCTGACGCTCGAGCGGCGCCCACTGTGCTCGGCAGACCGAAGCGCTACGCCCCCGGGAGCACCAGGCGCACAGCGGAGACCAAAGTACAGCTGCGGCCTCATAAACCTGGCGGTCAGAATCCGAGGCAAACTCTGCGCGGGCCCCAGACGTGCAGCCAGACGGATTGAAAAGGGGGTCAGAAACTTGACCACCGCTGTGGGATCTCCAGAAGGGGGGGGGGCCCGGTGCCGTGCCGGGCAGACGAGGGACGCATCTTGCGACCTGCGCAGCTGTGATACGTCTCACGCGTCCTTGCTTTTCTCTGGCCCCGCCCTCAAGACGGTTTTGGCCGTGATCATTGCGTTCTCGATGACGCACAGCTTGACGAGCAGCGTGCATGCCAGCTTGGCAATCAGCTTGAGCTGCATCGACACCTTTGCATTATACAACGTGATCGCGAGATGTACCCCCGAGACCAGTGTGAGCACTGCGGCATAGGCACTCGCCAAGAACGACAAGAACCCTTTGACGCCGCCTTTCTGGTCCCAATCCTTCCGTAACACCGCACGTACCGCCTCCTTGCCAAGAATGATGTCCATGGCGCCGGCCCCCACGGCGATGAGCAGCGAATCAAAGTGATCCTCCATCCACGTGCTCGGGAACTCGATGTTGAGCTCGTCGAGCATCTCATCGGTTGCGATTGGGACCCAGTGCTTCAGGTAGAAGTACTTGATGTAAACGCCGTACCAGGCGCAGGCGCAGGCGCAGCTCAGACAGAGTACGCGCTCGACGAGTGTGAAGGCGCTCCCGTGCGCGCAGTGCCAGAGGCAAAGGACGACGTGGTTCTCCTTCGGGCCTTCTGAACGGAGCGGTCCTCCTCCTCCTTTTTTGCTCCTCCCTCTCTGCGGGGGGCCGGGGGGGCACGAACATACAGTTCGACCTTGGCCAGAAGAACACCCTTCAAAAACATGAGACCCTCCGCCAGCCCAAACTGAAAAACATTCGAGGGTACCCTCACCCAGGATGCACAAAAACGTTCCACAAGCACGAAGATACCCTCCCTGAACCGACCTCGATCTTCTACCCTGGTCCGGCTTCACCGATGCCGCTGCTCCCGGGACCTATCCAGGGGTGCGTCCTGACCCAGGCTTCGAGGCGACTCAGGCCGTGGCGGGCGCGGGAAGAGCGGCGGCATCGGCGTCTCCTCCTCCTCCTCCTCCTCCGACTCTCAGCATCCAACTGCCCGCCTGTCTCTCCTTCCCTCCCCCCCTTCCTGCTGCTAAGCTGAGGAGGAGGAGGAGGAGGAGGAGGAGGAGGAGGAGGAGGAGGAGGAGGAGAGGGAGGAGAGGGAGGAGGAGAGGAAGGAGGAGGACACGAGCTCCCGCAGGTTCGCCGCGGCCGAGACCAGGGCGCCTGGAGGAGAATGGCGACGAGGGTCCCAGGTTGCCACAAAGTGTGCAGGCCGGGCAGGTTGCCGACGCCAGCCAGGGTCCAAGGCCAGCAGAGCCAGGGCCGAGCGAGCACGCAGGTCAGCCTCAGCCAAGGAACAAAAAGCATCGACGAGTCCACTGCGTTGCTCGTCGGCCTGTTCCAGGATCAAGATACCGCCGAGAATTTCACGCGACCTCCCGCTACAAACGTTCCACGGAAACTGGACCGTCAAAATCCAATACGTTACAGGAACCAAAAGGCGTAAACATAAACTTCTGGATGTCCGCTAGGACTGGTTCGGTCTGAGCTGAATCCCCCTCCCTGGTGCGTGCAGCGCGCCAAGGGCGGCGCCGCTAGGGGTTCCAGAGCAGATCAAAGAAATCCGCGTGGAGCTCCGACAGTTTATATTTATGCCGAGTTCTGTTCTTTGAATCAAAATCCAGCAGGTGCCTGTCCCAAAATTTCCCTGAGCCGATTGCTTCCCAAACGTTCGTTCTCGATGAGGGTGATAAGGAGGATCCGTGGGCCAACCTGCTTCAGGCTGGACGTTTTTGAAACATTCGGGGGTGGCCGAAACTTCTGGTGTAGGTAGCGATGGTCACAAGAGCCCACCGTTCGCATCACAAGTAGGTGTTGCAGTGTCAGTGTCCGCGGCCAGATCGACACTATCAGAGTGCGGAATTCGTTTCAGAGCCCCCCCCCCCCGGCTTGTGCAGCTCCCCCACTGATGTCAATGATAGTTGCCTCGTTGCGAATGAACATGGTAATCCACGTGAGGACCCCTCGGGATGCCTTCTTGTGCCCGTGCCGTCGATCCGTTGGGTTTCGGCTCAATCACATGTTAGTTTCATGCCACATCAGAAAGCAATCTAGGCTACACTAATTTGTCCGCATGATTCACTTGCTTTCCGAGTCGGAGGGGCGCACATTATCCAAGCTTCGGGGATGCAGGCTGGATGGGTCGCGTGCTTGGGGAATGCCACAGCAGCTCGTCACGGACAGCCTCTGGGACAGAATTCGCACCCAGCAGATCCGTATCTTCAAGAGCAGCGGATTCAGCATGCGGCGAATTTCGTGGAAACACCGCTACAAGATCGGGTCGCCAGATGATGGGCCGGAATCTTGCAGGTTCTGAGTTGGGTCCAACGGCATCGTGAATGGGATAACGGTAAGCGGCAGTTGACATACTTGCACGAACGTGGTTTGAGACTCAGTCTGGTCTGGCTGCAGGGGCTCACAACATGCGACCGCCCAACGATGCCGACGATTAGGAACAATGGTTCGTTTTTCTCCAGGAAATATTCGCGCAGAGTTTCGACATATTTCTGCCGTTAGCTCAGTGTGCGTCGAAGTGAGCTGCTGCCAAAGCTCCCAGAATGTCACTTCAAGAGTTCAAGGAATGACTTAAAGAGTTCAAGGAACGGAACACAACATTAACAATACCTGGAGTTACTCACAAGCTTAACGGGCCCCGGAAACGGCAGGGCCGTTTCTTCACCGTTTCCGAAAAAATGTCCCTTGTAAATGGAAACGGCAAAAAAACGGCGACCGGAAACGGCAACAAAAACGGCTCCAGGATTGGAACCAGAGCCTGAACCGGTCAAACAAAGGCGACGGATCTGGTAACAAAAACGGCGTCGGAACCGGCAACAAAAACGGCAAAACGGAACCGGTAAAAAAACGGCCCTGTCGTTTCCAGAGCCCATTGAGTTCACAACGGTATCGAAGACACGCCAGAGGTCCAGGAGGAGCTGACAGTAGACGGAGAACACTTATTCCACCCTCGGGATGCGATCGACGTCACAACTACCAGATGGCACGAACTATGGCGAGGTCGATAGTTTGACATCAACGATGTACTGTTCTCGGTTGCTGATATTCGTGAGTGGGCATGGGTGCAAGGCTTACCCCCCATACATGGAGCTGAAGTCAAGGAGGCAGCCTCACGTAAATATGAAGTGAAGGCTGGCATGGGTATTGACCAGTGGACCCCGCTAGATATTCAAATTCGCCGGCCCAACGGGCCAGAGGCGCGCCTGCTAAGATCTCGGCAACTGGTTAACACTATTTCTAGTTCGCGATTTCTAGTTCGCGCGCACGGGGCGGCCCCTGGGGGTCCCCCGGCGAATAGTACCCCGGGCTAATCCCGGGAGGAGACCCCGGACCGGGCAATTTTTCGACACCCCTCACGAGGATCGTGGCCTCCGAGGGGGGAGCCGCAATCGACTACCCCCCTCCCGCCCCAAGAGGCCCACAAGAGCCCCCCAAGAGGTCCTGGGGCCCCCCAAGACGCCGCCAAGGAGCCCCAAGAGATTCCCAAGAGGTCCCCAAGAGGCCCCCAAGAGGCCTAAA